CAGGGCCACCGACCACTTCTTCCCCACTTCCTAGTCCCCCAGGTTCTCACACCCACTGTCTTATTCACTGCCCCCCAAACCTGTCGGGACTCCCAGGAACAGGGGAGGGTTGGCCCAAGGTCCCATGGCTGGGGAGCGTGTGAGGCCCTGGCTGAGCCTCTGCCCGCAGCACCGCTCCCTCCCTCCGCGGGAATCTGGGGCGGAGGAGGAGCGTGGGACCTCCGCTTTATGGTGAAGGAACCGAGACTTCAGAGCAGTTGGTGGTGGGCAGGGCCTGAGGTAGGACAGAAGGCGGCCTGTCTGCCTTCAGGGTCCCCTCCACCTGCTCGGGAAGGGAGGCAGCAGGAGGCAGCGGGGTGCCTGGGTTTGGTTTATGGCAGTGGTTCTCAACCTTCCTAATGCCGCGGCCCTTTAATACAGTTCCTCATGTTGTAGTGACCCCCAACCATAAAATTATTTTCGTGGCTGCTTCATCACTGTAATGTTGCTACTGTTATGAATCGTAACATAAATATCTGATATGCAGGATGTATTTTCATTGTTACAAATTGAACATAATGAAAGCATAGTGATTCATCACAAAAACAATATGTAATTCTAGATGTGTTTTCCGATGGTCTTAGGCGACCCCTGTGAAAGGGTCGTTCGACCCCCAAAGGGGTCGCCACCCACAGGTTGAGAACCGCTGGTTTATGCAGTAACCCCTGTGAATGAGCTGAGTGAACGAGATTACCGGGTGCCTGGCACGTTCCTTACCTTCTCTGTGCCTCAATTTCCTTTATACAAACAGCACCCACTCCCTGAGGCTGGAGTCCATGGGCAGCATCCGCTCAGGCCCCCCTGGCCGCCCCCCCCCCCCCCGCACTGTCTAACAGTCCCTCTCATTATCTGACAGGCAATAGATGCTTCGAGAACTAATTGAGAAATAACTCTTAATCAAGGTAGAAGTTGGAGCAGCATTGTAAACGTCTAAGGCAGATTAGAAAAAGGGACAAGGAACACATTAGCAGGGATTCAGAACACGAAGGTGCAGGTGGCCTGGGTCTGCGGGTGGGTCCCGGGGTGGGGCTGGGCTTGAGCTCTGGCCTGTCCGACTCCAGGCCTGGTCTGCACCCTGTGCTCCTGTGGCCTGGACGGGGGCGGGGGGGGGGGCCACGCTGCTGGAACTGTCCCCGCTGCCATCGCCGCCTCCTCGGGGGAGGGGTGCTGGGGGCTCGGAGAAAGCAGACTCCCTGGCACTTCCGAAGGAACTGAGGCGGCGGAGGGTTGAGGAGCGGCTCCCTGGGCTGTCCCAAGGCGCACCGAGGCTGCCACCTACCCCTCTCGGGCCCCCCCTTCCCCCTACAGGTACTGAGGGTGGGTCCCGGGCTGCCCGGCTCAGGCCCCCGGGGGGCAGAGGGGTACCAAGCGTGGGATCCGACACTGACCTCTGACCTGCGGCTTCTGGCCCCGTGCGTGTCCAGGGGTCCGGGAGGGGTGTCATGGGGCCCCCTTCAGCTCTGCATTCGGGCTCCGGGCCGTGACTTTGCTAAGTTCCCCGTTTGAAAACAGGAACTAGGCTGTGCGGCCTGCTCCGGGCGCCCCAGCCCATTGGCTGCTGAGGAGGGGCTAGTGGGGCGCCGGGCAGGGGAGCAGAAACCCCTGCGGGTTAGAGCGGGGCCTCGCCGCCCACAGCCTTGCAGAGGCCTGGCTCTCCTCCCGAGTCCCACACAAACACTGGCCTTCGAACCTTAGCTCCCAAAGCTCTTTTATTTTAAAATCCTCACCGGAGGATATTTTTCCATTGATTCTTAGGGAGAGTGGAAAGGAGGGGGAGAGACAGAGAGAAACATCGGCGTGAGAGAAACACATCGATTGGTTGCCTCCTGCACCAGCCCTGACCGGGACCCGGGCTGGGGAGGAGTCTGCAACCCAGGTACATATCCTTGACGGGAATCAAACCCGGGTCCCTTTGGTCCTCAGGACGAGGCTCTATCCACTGAGCCACACCGGCCAGGGCTCCCAAACCTTCTTCGTGTTTGCTGTGCTATCCTATGAGCTAGGCATTGACAGATGGGGAAACTGAGGCTAGGAGCACAGAGCTGGTGGGACCAGCTCTTGGAGTCCAGGTGGCTCTTCTAGAATTCAAACTGCCTGGGCCCTCTCGGCTTCTCCCGGCATTCGGGGTAATCCAGACCCCTCCTGCGCCTGGCTCCCTCCCCCGCACCCTGCGTGTGGTCCCCCTGCGAGCATCACTTACACTCAGCAGTGTGGGCACTGCCTTCTGGCCTCAAACACGCCCAGCCCTCCCCTGGCACCTCCTGCAGCCGCGATGCCCTCTCCTGCTTCCTCTGCGACTCGCTCTCATTTTCAGCGTGCGGCGTGCTTGTCTCGCCCTTGGCGGCCGCCCCTGGCCCCTCTGTCCGGACCTGCATTGTTTGCCTATGTGTTTGCTTTTTCATTGCTGGTCTCCCACGCCCGGATGGCGGGACTCCGTGTTGGCGGTCTGTCCCTACAGCAGTACCTGCCAGGGTGCTGGGTCGTTGCTGTGTGCATGAAGGAATGAGCACTTGCGCAAATGAATGAATGAATGAATGAATGAATGAGTGGGTGGGTGATGCAGAGGGTGGCGATCGGGGCTGGGCTCCAGCTCAGCCCTGACTCACTGGGTGCCCGGGGGGAGCCGCCGCCCCTCTCTGCGTGTCAGCTTCCGGAATTGCAACATGAGGTAATTGAGGATCCTCCTCGCGACGTTGAGCAAGCAACGGGAAACGGTACACTGCTGCTCCCCACGCCCCAGGCGTTCCACAGTTGGGAACCCCAACACTCACACACTTTTTTGGGGGATACATGCAACAAGAATTGATCACTGACAGCTGCGCCTCCACAGGCCTGGCATCGAAAACCCGAGCCAGCGAGGTGTGGGTAGTCGTGTCAGCTTTATGTCTCCTCACTGGGCATGCACACCTAAGCCTTTGAAAAATCCTAGTGGTTTTTCCACCGTCTGACCCAGCAGTTCCCCGCCCAGGTATTTATCCAAAGAAAATGAAAACATGAACTCAAAAGGATACCATGTCTATATGGGTGAGAGACTGACACCCAAGACAGCAAATAAGAAAGTCCATGGCGTGCGGTGTGCGGATAACCGCTATGGAGAAAAACACAAAATCAGCCAGGGAGAGAGGGAGCCATGTAAGTGTCTAGAGGAAGAGCATTCCAGGCAGAGAACAGCGAATGCAAAGGCCAGCGGTGGTGGCGCATCTGGCACAGCCCAGGAGCAGCAGGCGGCCAGTGTGGCCGCACAGAGTGAATGAGGGTGAGCGTGAGGAGGGGGCTCCCCGAGGGCGCGGGGTGCAAACAGCAATCCTAAAGCCCCTCCTTGGCTTTTACTCTGAAAGGGGGAGTCCCTGGAAGGATTGACGCAGAGGAGCGACGCATACCCAGGCTTTTATTTTTAAACAGGTTCGCATTGCTGCTGTTGGAAGCCTGGCCAATGGCTAGGACCTCCTGCTGTCGCCCAGGTAAGAGATGCCAGGGCTTGGGACCCCGGTGGGCATGGAGGTCTGGCAAGAAGCGGCTGCGTTCTGGGTGTATTTTGCAGGTCAAGCTGGAAAACTTCCTCCCAGGTGGGCTGTGGGGGATGAAAGATGAGTTGGCAAAGTTTTCCAGTTGCTCTCTCAATTCCCTCCTCCCCCATTATATTTTTATTGATTTCAAAGAGGAAGGGAGAAGGAGAGAGAGAAACACCAGCGATGAGAGAATCATGCATTGGCTGTCTCCTGCACGCCCCACGTCGGGGATGGAGCCGGCCTGTGTCCTGACGGGGAACCGAACCGGGACCTCCTGGTTCATAGGTCGATGCTCAACCACTGAGCCACACTGGCCGGGCCCCTGTCAGTTTTCTTAAGCAATTTCCTATTGTGGGGCATTTAGGAGGCTTCTAGCTTGTCGCTGGGGTAGTTTCCGTCCTTCTAATGCAGCATTTCCCAACCCCAACCTACTGAGTGCTACCCGTGAGGAATTCGCCTGGAGGCAGTGTGTGTGTGTGTGTGTGTGTGTGTGTGTGTGTGTGTGTGTTGATTAGAGCCTGAACTTTGGCACCAGGTGCCTGGGGGTGAATCCCAGCTCTGCTGTCACTACTTGGGTAGATTAATTCATTTTTCTGTGCCTCTGTTTCTTCATTGATAAGTTAGGGGTAATGATAGCCAATGCCCGGAGATGGGATTAACTGAGTTGGTGTGTGTGAAGCCCGGCCCATAATAACTATGTGAATGTCAGTCTTTTTCTTTCAATCGACTTTAGATTTTAACGTCTCCAAACACAAGTATTTTAAGAGGAACGCTTATATTCACGCCTGGACTGGAGAACCGGTGGCGCTGGCTGGGGACAGTAGGACGTCCTGGGCAGTGTCAGGTGTGCGAGCCCTGTCAGTACCGCCCCGGGACCCTCGCCTCCACGCACACAGCAGGACAGAAAGAATCACGAGAAAAGAGGGCGCAGCTGCCATGGAACCCACCGCACTCTCCAAAGCGCTGTTCCGGCCTTCACAATACCAAGGCTGGCTGACCCCTCCCTCCGAGGGCGCTGTACTCTGTCACCCACAGCTTTCCTGGCTTCTGTTTCACAGGGGTGTGTGTGTGTGTGAGAGAGGGGGGGGGGAGGGAGAAGGGGGGCTTGTCCTGGGAGACGCTCTGGTTCCCTTCAGTTGAAAGGTGGCCCAGAAAGGGGGACACACACGGCCAGGGCCACGCAGCCAGGTGGCCCAGCCCTGCAGGCAGCGGGCAAGACTCAGCAGACCTGGGGAGGTGGGCGCAGCGGAGATGGAGGCGCTGGACAGGAGGGGCGTGGTCGGCGCGGGGATGGGCGGGGGCGAGCGCGGGGAGGGGCGTGGTCAGCGCGCAGGAGGGCGTGGTCTGCGCGCTGGTGGGCGTGGCGAGCGTGGGCAGGGGGCGTGGCGGGCCCGACGTGGGTTGGGCTGAGTGCAGGAGGCTTGGGATCCTTCAGACGTGATTAGAGGAGGAATCGGGGCGCCCCCCTCCCCGAGCTGCGTGCTCCACGGCCCGGTGCCGGGAGAGGGCGGGCGCCGAGGGTCTCGCCCGCAGGACTCAGACGCCGGCTCCTGAGCCCTTCTGGCCACCGCGGGGCTGAGGAAGGGCTGCCTCGGTTTTCCCTGGGGGGTCCCGGGATCTGAATGGAAGGTAGGTAGCTGGACAGGGGGCATCCGGAGGTTGGGGAGCCCCCTGGCGGGCTGTGACTCCAGGAGAAGAGGGGGCTTGGGGACACGGATAGAACTTCTGGGCCCTGAGAGCCTTTGAGGTCCAGAGAGAGGCTGTGATCTGGGGGCGGGGTCTGTGTGTATGTGTGTGTGTGTGTGGGGAGCCCCTGGGATGCGAAGTCCTGAGGCTCAGGCGGCCTGGACATGAGGAGGCCAGGCTTCAGGTCCCAGCGGGGGCTCCTCGCTCCTCTCTGCCGGCCTCAATTTCCCCATCTGTTCCATGCCTGCCTGTGAGTGGGGGGTGCCTTGAGAGAGTGCCCGGACGATCCTTGCTGCGGGCAATTGGAAGCAGTGGAGGTCCCTTAGGGAGAGAGTGA